ATTCGTTTACAATTCAATTTTACAAAATTTCAATTATTCGGAAATTCTTCAATTAAATATATATTAAAAATTAAAAACTTGAAATAATTTCAATAAAAATCCTATTAAATTTTTAAAAAGAATTAATTTTACAGAATTTGTTTGGCAAAAATATGAAAAATTAAGAACTGCAATGATTTTAGTTTGAATTTTTTTCAAAATTTAATTATTTCTAAAAATCCACGTTATAATGCTTTTAATATTTAATTATTATCTAAAATTTTAACTGAAATTCATTTTTAAAACCATTTTTATTAGTAAATTCTACGAGAATTCAATTATTTAAATACAAAAATAAATAATTTATTAATGTCATGTTCCTTGAAATTGAATTCTCATAAAAAATGTTGTCAACAAATTTTTTAAATAATTGAATTCTTTCGACAAATTTTAATAAAAATTAAAAAAAAATTATTACATTTTTCGAGGAATTCGATTAAAATTGCATTATAAATAATTGAAATTCTGCGATGAGTTTTATTATTTATGAAAATAATTTAATTCTTAAAAGAATTTTATTATTTATAAAAATAATTGAATTCTTGTAAAAATGTTATTATTTATGAAAATAATTAAATTATTGCGAATAAATTTATAAAAAAATTTGTAAATAATTGTATTCCTGTGAAAATTTTTATTATTTATGAAAATAATTGAATGTTTGGGTAGAATTTTATTCAAATTTTTTTTAATAATGGAATTCTTTTGGAAAATTTTATTGAAATAGTAGATATTAAAAATCATCGAATTTTAGAAAACTTTTGAAAATAATTGAATTTTTGAAAAGAATTTGATTAAAATTTTGTAAAATAATTGAATATCAGAGAAGAATTTTATTATTTATAAATAAAATTGAAATTTTGACAAAAATTTTTAAAAGTTTTTGAACAGAATTGAATTTAGTAACTACGTAACTAAGTTAGTTAGTAAGTTAGTAACTAAGTTAGTAACTAACTTACTAACTTACTATTCTCCCTGGAGAAGCTGAATTCGTTGAATTTTTACAAATCGTTGATTTTGGTGTTTTATTTAAAGTAAAATTTCATTCGAAGTTAAAAATAACACCAAAATAGGTTATTTGAATCCTTTCTGGTGTTAATTTAATCTTAGATGGATTAAACTGTTGCAGATTATTTTAATCCATTCTGGTGTTATTTTAACACTTCATGTTTTACTATGAAATCATTAAATCCCAAAGCCAATGACTGAAATTGAAAGTGAATAATAAAACTTGATCGTAAAAGTTCAAAGGACTAATGTATAATTTGACATGTGTCAAGAGTGGAAAATCTTTTCTTGACTGATCGATCACCTTTCCGTTTCTCGACCTCAATCACTATTTCTTTTGATTGTTAGATAATTTACACAAATCAAAAAAAGAAAAATATTTTTAAATTTTGCTTGAAATCAAACCAATAACTGTTATTTGTCGACTATTTTTTCTTGCGCAAACGTGAAAAACAAGATGAAACAGCAATCATACAGGAGAATCGATTTAAAAAAAATTTTTACGACCCTTGTTCGATTGATTATAAAGATGAGAAACAAATTTTTTATTTTCTAATATTTTTCCATTATCCTACGGCGTTTCACGATTATCACGATCGTTTTTCTTTTCAATAGATTAAAGTCTCTTTCTCTCGTCCATTACTATTGTCATAAATGTTACTGTAAATTGTTTTCGATTGATTCATTGAATAGTGAAAGTGTCACACGTAATATCTTGATGACGAGTTGAATCATAATGTCGAAGAAATTAATAATAATAATAATAAGAAATCAAAGTTCATAGGTGTTGAACTTACATTGAATAATAATAGAAATTACTCTGACGTTTTGAATGATGATTAAAGAATAATTAAACCCTAAGATTGTTAATAATGTTGAAAAATAAAACATTTCAAGTAGGCTAATTTTCTAAAAAAGAAAAGTTCTTAAAGGAGAAAGTTATTTATAAAGAAGTATTTTTTCTAGAGATAAAAGTGTTAAATTCACGTCTGTTTATCTACATAAATAGAGTGTAGAAAAATGCTCAACGTTTAGATGATTGTTTAACAATTTAGATGATCTTTACAATTATAATCCATTTTTGTTTCAATTATAAATTTCTGTATTTTACAAAATATGTGAAAGATGTACTTAAAAAAATATGTATATGATCATAATTCCATGTATGTTTTGAAAAAGTGTTACGATTTCACTCACGGGGTATCTAATGTTTATTATTAATTAATAATGAAAATTCTTAATAGCTTTTGAAACTTTATTTCCTTCGTTATTAAATTAAAATTCTTTTTAATGATTCTTTTCACTATTTTTTTAGTTGGTGTCGTAAAGAAAGGAAATTTTTATTTTATAATTGTGTGAGCCTTCAATTTAAATCGATTACAAGTCAAAAATGGGGTGATGTCTAATTTAATAAATTAAAAATTAATGACAGAAAAAATAAAGGAGATAAATATCGCAGTAGAGTAGATTGAAATCAAACTAAAAAAATAAAGAAGTAAAAAAAAGTAAAACTATTTTTATTTTTTTTATATAATATATTTTATTTATATATAAAAATATGAAATAAAATTTTGTATTAAATTTTACAATAATTAAAATGATTTTTTAATAGTTATAGAGAATTAATGACATTACTCTTTTATTGCACGTATTGCCTTTGTATTCAATTATTGACAATGTGATATTATTTTGCAGTTACGAGTAATATCAGATTTTAATTGCAGAAATGTAAATTAAATTCTTGTAATTCTATTTATAATTATATTAAATGCATACTGATAAAACATGAGGCCACTATAGAGTATTTCAAAATTATAACTTTGTAATTTCCTTTGATTTCGTAAAATATAAAAGCGTGATTTATTTAATTTTCAAAGTATATAAAAAATTTATTTTAATTGGTTCCAATTGGTAACGTTTTTATTAAGTATTCATTTGATTGAAAAAGCCAGTTGTAATAAAAAACGAAACCTTTCATTGAAAGTATTTTTTTAGTCATATTTTTGATGTATTTTAAATTAATTTCTTTCAATTAATAAGGTCGAAAAAAATGAAACTAAACAGAAATGAAAACCGAACAGAAATAAACTGAATGTTTTAATGGTTAACGTTTTGATAGCCAAATAAACAAACTGCAATTTTCAAACAGATCTTTAGAAATAAAATTAGTTTTGTTAAAGAAATCACTTTGTTAGTTAAATAAATATCTTTGCTAGTAATTTATTTGCTGATCGTATTCAATGTTGGCTGTAAATTAAATTTTTTTCGAGAATTTTCCTTTCAACCTTCAAAGAGAAAATTGAATGTGTTGCCAATTAATGCAATTCCATTTTTGGCAGTTCGGCGAGCGATTCTGTTGTGAAGATATTTCCTCGTGGACAACTGAGTCTGGGAGAAAGTAGAGTTTATTATGTTAGCCTTGCATCTCGGCCATCGTGCCACTTAACAGAAGTCTAACGTTTCTGCTGGTGTTGACAGGTCGCGTAGTTTTGCAAGCTTGATTTGCAGAGTTGCTTTTCTTGTCGCCTCTTGATGTCTCGTGTTTCCGTATGTCCCACACCGTCCCGAGAATATATTTATCCCCTAACTATATTTCTGAACCTCAGAACAAGGCAATTTTACCGAAACTTCTCTTACACCATTTCACATGCAACATGTCTCACAAATAATGCAATACTTTTTTGCCATATAATAGATATAATGCTGCCGTTTGCGTAATTTTTTCTTTTTATATAAGAAAAAGAGCAGCACGCATATGATGACTCGCTCTCTTTTAATTCAACCGAGTTGAAAATCTCACGATCTCTAATAAACACGAAAGGAACAACTGCAATCATGAGTGAAGCGTACAAATGTTCAGCCACTTTTACCGGAACACTCCTCTCGGCACGAGCCTAATGAGCTAATTAGATTTGACGAAGGTAGTAGAGTTAATCGGCTTCATTGTGTAGTAATCCATCAACAAGTCTCATTGTATTTAAAAAAACAGATTCATCATCTTTTTAAATCTCTCACAGAACTTCTGATTCATTCCAACAAACAAGGTGTTAAAAATGAAAAAATCCGGGTTCCAGGAAAATTTCGCTCTCGAGCTATTTGTAGTGCATCTTTAAAATCTATTATAGAGAACAAAAGTAGATTACTTAAGAATACAAAGGAATAGATTAGATCGAAACTTTCGAGTAGAAAATAAGGCGTTTGTTACACTTCCCAAATGGATGGATTTTAATTTTTGAACTTTTAAAATAGTGAAAAAAGTATTCAGGTTTATGGGATTATTTGCACATTTAAAGAAACTGTCATAAAATACTTATGACTCTTGTTATAATAAAATATTCCATTATTGTTATTTTACAATAAAGATCTCCTCGTGGAGAATAAAAAGCAAGCGATAAAACTGTTTTTTTCGCGCTAAACTATGGTTCAGGTAGCACCATTATTTTATGATTGACTGCTAACGTAAAGACCACTTTATATACTTCGGGAGTAAAATGTACTGACGAATGGAACCGTTAAGAATTAAGGAGTCGGAAAATATTGAAATGCAAAATTATTAAAAAGAAACGAGTTAGAAATGTTTTCAAATGGTTAACCCAACCATTTTTCTCTCTTTTCTTTTTGATATTTATCATATCTGTAGTACTTTTCTAGTACAGAAGAAAATAATTATTTAAATTTAATTTTATTGTTACAAGAAATTCTAATTATACTTCTAATTAAATAGTATTACAATTTACCAAATAATAATCAACATACACTAATTAAAGAATTAATTGAACAAATATTCAAGCACTTGAGGACAAAATACTCTTTAAGTAAACGTAAAGCAGAAATCTTTAGACCACAAATACTTAAAAACCAGAAATAATTATGCAGGCCCTGATTAAATTAATTAGGTACTACTTGATTAATTAACAATGATTATTTATCTTCGACGATTTATTTGTTTGCAGATGATATCCACCCTGCTCTGCATCCTATTAATCGGACACCAAGTTCAAGCCGTCATAAATAAACCGACCTCCCAATCCTCATCGGTTAATGAGGAGGAAAAGACGGAGGTCGAAGCTGAAGACAGAATAAGCAATTCTTATGGACCACCACCAGATTCTGGATTCAATGGACCAGCGCCTGTCTACGGACCACCGGAATTAACAGGGGACCAGAGACCACCACAAATTTTCTCACCCCCACCACCTGAAAGACCCCCACAATCCTATGGACCACCCAGTCAAAATTATGGTCCACCACCAAAACTAAATTTCGGTCCACCGAAACCAGAGTATGGTCCACCGAAACCACAGTACGGACCTCCGAAACCACAGTATGGACCCCCGAAACCACAATACGGACCACCTAAACCTCAATACGGTCCGCCGAAACAATCCTTCAGACCTCCGCCACCACACGGACAGTTCAAACATCCAAAACCTCAATACGGACCCCCACCAAAATTTAACGGACCACCTTTCGAATCAAAACCAGTCGATGGTGGACCAATTCCTGGATCTCTAGAAGCCTACGGACCACCTAACAGAAAACCCGTCGTTCCTTTCGGTATCGGCCACCAGGGAAATTTCGGCCCAGGACCACAATATGGAGCACCGTTCAATAACGATCTTTACGGACCACCAATGGCTCCACCACCAGGCGTTCCAGCTCCACCCACTCCCCCCGATATCAAATACGACGGATGGCAACCAATCCCCGGATTAGTTAGCAGTCCTAATCAACAGATCCAGCCGCAGGAAAATTATCTCCCTCCCGCTGAGAACGGACCTCTTGTCAATTTCCAAGATTCGGCAAATACGAACGTACCCAGCGACTCCTATGGAGTTCCACTCAACAACCCAGACGATCACAGTTTGAAATCAGTTGTCCATCAATCATCAGCCGCTGCCGAAAATCACGGACTCCCACCCCCACCTCTTCCTGAATTCGAACCCCTTCACGCAGGTCAAGGTCCCGGCAATGCCGGAGGTAGTTTCGATTCCTTGAAACAATTTCCTGAATTACCCAGCAACCAATACGGAGCACCAACCGCTAACGATGACCTTAAAATACTGACATCTGACCTACAAGGCCTCACTCTCTCCGGTGGAAGTTCAGCGCAAGAGGCAGGTGCACTTTCACCACTGTCCGACTCCTACGGACTGCCGGCTGAAAATCACCACGGATCACTTTCATCCGATGACTTATCACTACAACAATTACCAATTGTCCCTTCAGGCAGTTACGGACCACCTGCCGCGCCTAGTTTCCCGTTGGCGCCTCCGCCCCCCTCAGACTCTTACGGCGCACCACCTGCATCATCCTTCTCTCCCAATGGACCTTATCAATCATCGAAAGGCTTCAGAGGCGGTGCATTCTCATCAGGCTTTTCCTCATCCTCATTCGGCTCGTTCGGAGGCGGTTTCAATAGACACTTCTCGAAAAATCGTGGACCACCAAGACCCGCACAATTGCAAGGCTCATTGATTCCACCCAGGAATCGCCATCCATACAAATTCAGGGAACCGGTACCAAGCGAACTAATCTCGAATCTCAATAAGTATCTCCCTCCTGGTGATCATATAAAACCACAGAAAAATTACGGTCCACCTTTGGCATTCGATCAACAACTTCCACGTTTCACTGGTGGACAGCAAAACTTCCAAGGTGCTGGCTCACACTTCTCCGGAAGTTTCACCTCTAGTAAAACTTTCGGACACGCGCCGATGGTCGCACCGAACGTGAACTACGGAACTCCGTTGTCTTTCAATGATTTCAACACTCCTGCTCCAGTGCCGACGTACGGTGCACCTAACTTTGGACCTCCTTCGATGTTCGCCTCGACCTCAACTGGATTCGGTGGTAATCTCTATAACAGCGTCAGCAATTCTTTGTCGAATACGTACGGAACTCCGGTTATAAATTCCCATCTCACCGGAGGAAAAGGCGATTGCTTCCAACAAGCTAATGGAGCAATTGGCTACAATCTTCCCGATTTTAGCGCACCGAATTCATTGTACGATTCGCCAATCGGTGGTCTAGCGGCCCCATCCGTCAGTCATCTGGACCTCGAGCAGAATACGCAGCAAACCGGTGATCTGAAGGACAGTTACGGCCAACCTATCGGAGCTTTCCAGGACCAGACCGGAGCCGCTGTGAATACGAACCAAATTCACGAACTACCGCAACAATCTTTGAATCAAAACTTTGGTTCTGACACTTCGTTCCTAACCGCCAACGGAATATCAGCTGAAGCTCTCACAGCCGCCCTCACCGCTCAAGGTTATGGCGAATCGAAAAACGCCGCCTTAAGTTCAAACGAAGTCGACGCGAGTCAATTCCTCCAGACCAGCGAAGGTCATCATGCGCTAGCTCTTGCACAACAAGGTCTCGTACCCGAGGGCAATGACGGTTTCCAAATTCAAGGTTCCAAGGGAACCTACACCCTTCAGATTCAAGCCGCTGACGGTGGGTTAGGCACGGAGAATTCTGACGGAAGCATCCGACATGAACAAGTACTCTCGAATGGTCTGCTTCAGGATATTCTTGCAGCAATTGAACAGCAACCGAACGGTGGGCAAATTGAACTTCAAGGTCCACCATTGGTGCAACCACTCGAGAAAGTCTACGGTGATTTATCGCACGCAGCAACGAACAATGTTGCCAGCAGTAATCAGTTCGATTCGAGTGCGCAGAGTGAGGATGACAAGAACCTCGAGGAGATGATTGCTCAGGCTACTTCTAGACACGCGGAGAAAGCATCGGATGTCGATCCACACAAGGATCAGATTGCTTTGTTCTTTAATAACAAAAATTATGAGGAGTCGAAGAAACAAGTGAGGTCCACCTTTAAAAATGAGAAAACACAACCTGAGGATACGAATGTAGAGAAGAGGAGTAGTTAAATAATGGAAGGATTTAGTCTCAGAGATCTGGTAGTGAGATCTAGTTAGTGTTACCACTTTTTGGCTGAATAGCGTTTTCGATAATTTTTTATATCACAGATGCTCGAAAACTTTGTCGTGTGAAGTGGGTTTGATGTTTCCAGACTAGGTGATGTCAGAGGGAAAAAAAGTTGTAAACAACTTTTTTCCCCTTTGACATCACCTAGTCTGGAAACATCGAGTTAAAAAGTACTTCATTCAGTATAAACCGGATTTCGAGTATTTATGGCATAAAAAATCGTATGCTACATGGGAGGTACTTCCCTGTTGCATATTACACTATTTTTCCTAACATTGCAATTTTATCTCGTTTCGATATTTTTAGTTACTTTTTCGTTATATACTCGAATTTTAGTTTAAATTTTCCTTGCTATTCAACTACTCGGACGTTAATGATTTGACTAGTTTTAGTAGATGACGATTGCCGAGATAGCAGGTATTGTCGCAATATTGCACAGTAAGGTTGATGCTATAAATTTTATTTTTTATTAATGTGTATTAATTATTGTTAATTATTATTATATAATGTGTATAAAATTATTAGCAGCGAGCTTATGGCATACTTGCAGCAAAATTACGTGCTATCTGGGTGCATCAATTTTTTGTTTAGACCAAGTTTCAAAAGTTAGGTTCAGTTGTGAATTGAAATTGGAGTTTCCAGTAAACTGGTTAGGTTCGATTCTATAAAGATTTTTAGGTTTGGGAAGTTAATCACTTTTATAAAGTTGAACACGTTCGACGCTGATTGCTATCATTTTTTTTACAATCCTGTTCAATTTTAATTGACAATTGTAGAGATATTTATATTTATTTGCCAAGTCGATTAAATTGAGTCTTCAAGATCATTAAATTAGATTTTGAAGATGATTGGAAGAAGTTTCATTGATGATCAGATTGGAGTTGTAGGATCGTGTTTCATTAAGTAGATAGTATTTCCATATAGAAGGTTCAGATCAAATGGTGTTATTTGAAGTTAAATTGAATTTAAAAAGTAGGATCAAATTTTTCATGCTTCATTCAAAGATGATCGGAATTATTTTTGTATTTTTGGCGAAGAAATAATTTGTTAAAAAAGATTTGATCGTTTTGAAGATGTTTTTAAATTGTTATGATGAGTCTTGGTATCAGTCCACAATTTTTCGGTGCTAATTTCAGTTATTGTTAATAATTATTTCATATTATAGAATTTTTATTTTTTTTCGTTTTTTTAGAACAAAATTTCTATTCTCCAGCCCTCGGTGGGAAAAATTCTGTATAAAGAAAATAACGACACCTGTTAAACACGAACTAAACGTTTAATTCTCCTTTAAAAGGATTAAATTCCTAGATCTTTAGATACAATTCCATTATATAGATAATCAGAATGAAGCTGAAGAACTTTCTCTTATTTTGAAGATAAAATCCAGGCATTTTTTTTTTAAGAAATACTTTTGTTGAAGTGAATCAGCAATACAAGTGCCATTTGCTTAACGCGGCTAGACTTTGATTGGATAGCAATTTTCCGTAATAGGATTGTTTTTTTTTCTATCGCGAGAGAGACTGATCCTGGAGTGCGAGAGGTGAGAGATTAATCTACATTGGGGGAAAATGGGGAAGACACATATACACAACCTTCGACATGGAGAAAGTAATAGGAATCTTCAGTAAGAGCTATTTCACTCTCACGACAAGCTTGTAAATATTCAGAAACCACACGATCCTCTTAAAGACTCTCTCGACTATAAAGAGAGTCTGCCTCGATGAAAGTGGATGCTATCAGTAGACCTCTGGGGTCACTGCCAAACGATGTCGTGATCTTGACACGATTGCTTTTTTTCAAGGTGAAAATAAAGATAAATCTGAGTTAAAGATTTTTATATTTATATGTATAAAAATAAATATGTATTATATTCAGTTGAATATAAAAATAATTAAAGAAATTCTCGGTGCGTATTAAAGTTATTTTACATGAAGGTCGTTGCGCTCAAAAGAGACTCACGCACTTTGTGGTCAGTGTAAATGTTGTTTTTTTGATGTTTGCCAGTATATTATTATTATTATTTTGTTTCGATTGAACGAGAGTGGATGTGAGTTGTGCCCGCGATTTTCAATACTCAAAATAGGTCAATAGGTTAAGACACTTCACCTGAATCACCAGGTGTGAATGTATTCGGGGAATGCGTGTTTGTAACATCTTTTATGTATTCGAGAGACAATCTCGAAGATCAGTGCTCATTAGTTGAAAAATCATCAAATATACTTGAAAGCACTATTTACCAGGTGAAAGTTCAAACGATATTTAATGCACTGGGAAAAATATTTTCTCCTCTATTTATATATATGGAAGAAAAAGAATTGGTACTTGTTTTTCACTATTAGAAATAGGTATTCAGTATTTTAGTATTTCTGAGATTTAATATTCCTTACTTTTAGTATTTCAGCCAAAATTATTGTTTACGAATTACCGAAGCAAAGAGTCAATCAACATTTCGTTAATACTTTAACTAATTCAGATTTAGAGTTTGAATTTTTTAATTAATATTAAAAAGTCAACATTTTGAGAAGAAGAAATTCCCATTTGGAAAAATTTATCTCTGGTAAAATAGAGGAAGACTTGAAATAATTGTACTTTAAGTGGAATATTTCAGAAATACGGAAATAAAAGAATAAAGTAATGTTTTCTGTGCGGTGGAAGGAAAATATTTTTTTCAGTGCGACCACGCGAATTGAAATGTTTTGTAGAGGCATTATTGAGAGTATGTGAATGTAAAGCTTGGTCGAATGCGGAATTTGTGTAGGTTGTTTGTTTGTTTTTTTTACTGCATTTCAGGTAACTAAATATAAGGAGGTTGAAAGTGCCTGCGAGGGCTGTCGATTTCTAGGGAGTATGTAGTTGTAGTTGGTAGTTGTACTGCCGAGCCATAAGACAATCTCGTTTCGCTACGACCCTTATTCTATTTTTTTATGGATTAATTTATTATTTTATACATAAAGTGCCTTGATGGAGATAGGCTATTATATTCGTTGAGTGATCGTCTACATCTCTCCGCGAATGTAAAGTACGCGAATGCGCTTGTGCTTTTATTATGTACTCTGCGTTGCGCGTGTAAATATATGCATATCTTGTAAATAAAAGTACGTTGTTATTCTTCAATACCCTCTTTCCTCAGTTACTTCCAGCTTTTTTTTAACAACATATAGTCCTTTGAATATTGCGTAATTTTTTTTTTTTTATAAAAATATTTAATGTTTTTTATTTTAGAATTATTGTTGTTGGAGATTACAATGAAGAAAACAGTTTTGACATCAAGTTGAATTCTCACACCAAACATTTATTTCGAATATATAATTATTTTTTTTTCTCTTTTTGAAAACTAATTTGAATAAAATATTTTAGAAACTTTCTCGTGTTTTGAATGTATCAGAAAAAGAAGAAATGATTTGGGTAAGAAAAACATGAGAATTTGGGAAGGGAAAGTTATATAGTGAAGATAATGGAACAATTTAGTATCAATTTGAAGTCGTTTAAACTGAACTGTTCCGACCTTTGGTGTAGAATCCCTGAATGTCGATAAAAGGTCTATTCCGCGAAAATAGGTAGGTTACGTTGTAACCATTGAGAATTCAGGTAAGAGAGAAACGAAAACGAATGAGGGAATTAGGTATTCGCCTCTAAGTAGGATTACGGTTATGTAAATGAAATGCTATCCATGCGGGTTAGGTTGGTTCCTCGACTGTTAGTTGGTTAACGCCATTGTCTGCTTCTTCTTTAACGATAGAATAAGTTTTCGTTTGCTATTGTCTAATGGGCTGGAAATTAATAAGAAAAAGAAATTTCTATTGGACAAACAATAAAGCTTATTATTATTATCATCAATTTTTTATTATTATATATATTTCTTATTATAAATAACCTGAGAGTGAATTTAATTAATAATTAACCATTATTGATTTTTTGATTAGTAAAAATATTGCGCTATTTAAATTAGTATCTGACTTTTTAATATCAAATTAGTTAGGTAGTTTTAAATACCCGATTCAAATTTAATGATAAATTTCTTTCAATTTTTAAACCATTTTTTAACATTGATCTGCATTTTTGAATCGAATTTTATTTTCATCATTCATACGTTCACGTGATCAAGCATCCCTTTTATATTCTTTTATGACTTAAATTGCAATTTTCCTCTTCCATTCGAATAATACTGTCTGTTTTCTTTCCTTTCGCCTTTCTTCGCATCCGCATACATACAATATAACTTGAATTATCATATCATAAACTTTAGCTTCGCGCCATATAGTGAACTGCGCGCGAGATGCGTGCAGAAGTTTCTGGGAATTTTCACACGTTGGTTTCGGGCGTAAAATTGGTGAATGCGTAGGTACTCACATGAATGCATCCGGTTAAGCTTCATCCAAGTGAGAGTGAACCTTCCGATACACAAAATATATAGAATTGAATAATTTATTCTGATTTTATCTCTCTATGTAGTATGTGTGTGTTAGAGCGAAGATGAGGAAAAAAAAATCTTGCGACCCTATGGATTTAGAAAGCAAATAATTTTGAGGGGATTTTTGATGCTTGAATCCTTTTTAGAGATTATATCAGACGCGCATGGGAATGTTAGAACTATGCTTCTTTGAATGTTTTACATATAATTATTTTAATGATATGTTTTCTCTATTTCGAAAAAGTTGAATTTTTTAATATGTTTTATTATGAAATTAAAATACAGGTTAATGAGCTACACAATATTTGAAAATGGAAATAGTTTTTTGAAAAATGTAAATATTGGTAGTGATTTCATGAAGAAAAGTTTATATCTAATTTTTTTGGTTGCATGTATTAATGCAAATTTGTATATCAATATACTGTTAATAACTGTAGTGGAGAATTTTTAATTTTTTTTTATAGTACTTTTCGAAATTCTTTGATGGACAATGTATATTGATTGTTCTCTCCAAATTTGAAAATTCTGCAAGTTTTTTATTTTTAAAATATTTTAACATTTCTAGGGTTGCCACAGGTCAGGGAAATCAGGGAATTCAGGAAAAGTGGAATCGTATATAATGTGAAAATGGAATATAATATTCAAATGTAATAAAATTCTTCTCAAAATTTCAATTATATTCCAAAATTGTCCTCAATTCAATCATTTTCAATATCTACTATTTTAATAAAATTTTTCAAAAAATTTCAATTAATTAAAAAAATGTGTTGATAAAATTCTAAGTAAACATTGAATTATTTTCATAAATAATAAGAATTTCACAGTAATTCAATTTTTTGAAACACAATTTTTATAAAATTCTTCTCAAGAATTCAATTATTTATAAAAAAATTAAATAAAGTTCTTTGTAGGAATTGAATTATTTTTATAAATAATATAATTCCTCTCAGTGATTCAATTATTTTCATAAATTATAAAATTCTTTTTAGGAATGCAATTATTTTCATAATAATAAAACTCATCGCAGAACTTTCATTATTTTCATAAATAATCAAATTCTCTTTATGAATTTAATTATTTTCAAATGTAATAAAATTCTTCGCAGAAATTCAATTATTATGTTCAAAAATTTTTAAAAATGACACGTCAAAATTTCAATTTTCTTTAAAAATAATAAAATTCTTCTCCAAAATTTAATTATTTTCAAAAAATTTAATAAAATTCTTGTCAAAATTTCAATTATTTTCAAAAATTTTCCTCATTTCAATTATTTGTAATATCTACTATTTTAATAAAATTTTTTAAAAGATTTTAATTATTGAAAAAAAGTGTTGATAAAATTCTAAGTAAACATTAATTTTCATAAATAATAAAAATTTCACACAAATTCAACTATTTGCAAATGTTTTTTTTAAATTTTTTGCCAATAATTGAATTATTTGAATAAATAATAAAATATTTTACCGAGATTCAATTATTTTCATAAATAATAAAAATTATTAATAGAAATTGAATTATTTTTAAATTTCAATACAATTTTAATCAAATTCGTCAAAAAATGTAATTGAGAATTTTATTAAAATTCGTCGAAAAAATTTAATTATTTAAAAATTTGTTGATAAAATTCTTTATGAGGATTCAATTTTGATAAACATTCATTTATTCAATAAATTATTCCATTTTTTAAAAATAATTGAATTCATTTAAGAAATTTAATTAAAATAGTAGGTTTTGAGAATATTTGAATTTTAATGAAGAATTTCATTATTTGTGAAATGTAATTGAATTTTTGCAAGAAATTTTTGAAACTAATTAAATTTGTCGAGGAATTTATTTAAAATTGTATTAAAAATAATTGAAATCCTATGAGAAATTTTATTATTTATGAAAATAAATGAATTCTTACAACGAATTTTATTACATTTTTGAAAGAATTGAATTCTTCGACTCGGAGTGATAGATATCTTCATGTTTTATAATATATTAATAATATTCTTATAAGTTGTTGAATTTCATAGAGATTGGAATTTGAAATTTTTGGAAAATCTTAATTTTTATGGAATAATAATAATGATTATATATTTATTTAAAAATTAATTTATTTATATTTTTGAATAATTTTACAATTAAAAAAATTCGTAATATGTAAAAATTCGTAAATGTAATAGAACAGTTTTTTGAGTTTTGCATATAAATTGCAACAAAGCTTATTATTAGACTCTAATTGTAATAGAAATTTGTTAAAATAATATTAAAATACAAAACTTGCAGAATTTCCACGGAATCTAAATAAGAGGAGACCTAGATTTAGAAAAAAAGACCACACTGCACTTCGAGGGATTAAGAGGAAGCTTATTGATTGAGCACCAGTTAGAAAGTATATTTAAACTCTTTTGAAGTTTTTTTGAGTTTTTTTTTGTCATTTTTGTTTCTGATTATGGTAAAAAGTTTAAGGATATTTATTTATTTAATAATAATAAGAATTTTCTACTAACAATTAGTTATTTTTTACTGATTTGCTAAATTAAAAGAGTTAGTTACGATTTTACTAATAATTATTTATTCTTATCTAATTCGAGGGACCAGTTAGCAATGGTATAGTGGAGGGATTTTTAACTCTGAATTGAAAAGAATCTTTTTTTCTCAAACTTTTAGTATTGCGAAAAGCGATACGCTGCTAATTATGTGTGAGACCTTGAGAAAGGTAGTTCGTTAAAGTTTAAAAAGAATGACAAAGGCTCGTTAAATCCACCTTCTTACTTTCACATTCGCAGAGAAATACCAAGAAAATTAAAGGTAATTAAAGCAAAGACGTTTGGAAGGTAAAAATATCTGATAAAAAAAATCCGAAGGGATTTAAAACCATATAATTTTTAGACGTAAAAATTTATTTCAGAAAGGTGTTAACAATTTGTATTATCTGTCTTATTTGAATTTATTTTTTACTATGAATAATTATTACAGTAGAAGATGTATATACATGGTAGATTATATTCTATAGATTTTTTCAATTTTATTTCATTTCTCTTTCTTCATTGTTTACTGAATTAATTTACAGTGTACATTTTCATGTATCGCCGCTATTTCAACGTATGTAGACGGAAGCTTAATTGTCACAGCTCGTAATTAAAGTTACGGTGAGTTGACGTTACGATTTTACTGAAAAATTTAACAAGGTCGTGATTTTTTTTTTAAATGGGTAAATTTGTTTTTGCAAATTTGGCATAAATAGAGAATTTATAATTTTTTATTAAATTACTTTCGATTTATATTTATAAATATATTATACTACAAATATGAATGAAATTATGTTATCTTATTTCTGAATCCTTTTTCGGCATACATTTTTACAATTAAAATTATCCACAAAACAATTTGGAGTTAATTTCTGCTAATTTGGTAGCAGTTCGATCCAATTTGGTTTCAATTTAATTACAAATTTGGTATCAATTAGCACTAATTAGATATCAAGCTACTTAAATTTAAAATAATCCAATTTGGTATCAGTTTGATGTAATTTAGTATTAGTTGAATCCATTTTGATTCCTCATAGAAAACTTTATTGGTATCAAGTTCTTTCAAAATTTTGGTATCATTTTGATAGCAGTAAAGGCCAATTTGGTTTTAATTCATTTTCAATTTTTTCCGATTGGTCATTTTGTTTATGAACAATTTTATATTAAT